ATCATTGCATAAATATGAAATAGGACCAAGAACACAAACTTATGTAACCACTATGGAAAGCAGTGTGGAAAACTATTAAAAAACTAAAAATGAATCTATCATATGATCCACTCAGTCCCTGGCATATACTCAAAGGAGTCATCCTACTGCAGGGATATCTGTATCCCCATGTTTATTGCCACTGTTTTTTACAATAGCTAAGATATGGAAACAACCTAAATGTCCCTAAACTGACGAAGTGAAAATGTGGTACATTTACACAATGGAGTTCTACTCAGTGGTAAGGAAAGACGAAATTATGAAATGTGCAGGTAAATGAATGGAAGTAGAAGCTGTTAAACTAAGTGAAGTAATATAGACTCAAAAAAGCAAGTGACATGTTCTCCCTTATTTGTGGATCTTAGCACCAATCCCTTATATGTGAGTATATATGTGAGTATATATGCTAATGTAACAGCAGGTGTCAGGAAAATGGAAAGGAAGCATTGAGATAAAGATAAAGAGCCTCAGAGAGAAAAATAATGGGAATTAGAGTGTACCAAGGGGGAAATGGTGAAATCAGGGTATTCAACTGGGAAACGAGGAGGGAACGACGAATCATGGGGGTAAAAGAGAAGAAGGAAGTCAAGAGAGGGGGGATAATAGGAGACAGGTAGTATCAAGGAGAGAATGGCGAGGGAGGAGAGAGGTTAGACAGGGAGAGAGGAGAGATAAATAAATCTTAGGCGGACTAAAAAGCCAGAGGGAAATGTGTTAACTCAAACCCCTGCCCTGAAAAAGACACATACAATAGCTGAACATAAGTACATGTGTACACCTGAAGACTATATAGCAAGGAACACAGTGCCAGACAGGAGAAACTTTCCTTTGAGTTATTGGTCAGGGTAGTTTAAGAGACTCCCAAAATAACATAGGCTATTGCCATAGTCGTTGTTTAGCTCCCAGAACTTGAAGGTAAGACCCTATTACTGAAGATAGGACATACTTTGGATACAGGACTTGGAGCAATAGAGCTGGAATTGACTTGAAAGTCTTCTCTCTGAAGATTAGCTCCCACAGTTCTAGAGGATAGTATGCAAACCATTAAGGGAGAAAATCAATCAATGGCCCAATCCAACTCTAAAGCCTAATAACCAACCACAACAACTGGCACAGCAAACTCTTTTTTGGTGCAGTAGTGGTGCTTTTATCTAGGAGGCAATCAACAGCTATCTAATTGGACTTAAAGCTTTCTCAATGGGAGGGGTTTCATGGGAGGCACTATAAATATAGCAAATACACATGACTGCAAAGATCATAGATCCTAGAAAAAAACCCTATGTCTGGAATATCTCTAGACAAATACAATTTCTTACTGTATGCTGAATATGGATCCTTATATTTACAGACCAGTATACCGTACACCATCATCAAAGAGGCAAAGAATTTTTTTTTTTTTTTTTTTTTGCAACAGATGGAGGCCATTACAGAGTTATACAGCTGGTCACACACAGAGAATATATGTCTGAGGGATTTTCAGCCCTAAGTGGCACATCTACAGTGGAACTTTTACACATGAGGCTCATGGAACATAGCAGAACAAGGGGTAGAGAGAATACTAATACATCCCTCAACTCTTACCAGTGAAGCTTCTTCATACAACAAAGTGTGATGCACACAGAAGGCCACATCTGGCTAAGTTTTAGAGAATAAAAAACTGCAGATGCTTGTCCCTAGATAGGATTCCTATATTACCCCCCCCACACACACACACACACAGCTCAAGAACCATTTTGGAAGAGGGGATGGAAAGATTTCAAGCACGAGAGTTGGTGCATGAACATAAGGAAACAGAGGGTCTCAGGCTATTGGAAACTTTCTCATCTGAACTTGCAACAATGGTGACAGCATGCACAAGACCCACGCCACTCAATCAGACAAAAACTCAGTACAGAATGAAGAAAATGGGCAGTAGACCCCAATACTAGCTGAGGAACAATTCAAAATTGATACTTCTGAGTGTGGGGAAGTAGATTTTCTTTAAGGGAGTGACTCTAGATAGGCTTGCCAGACTCCAGTGAATGAACTTGCACTGAGGGACATCTGGGTACAAATGATTAACCAGATAGGACTTAACATATATGACAGAATGCATGAAATCTGGTGGGGGTTTTGGGAGGCACGGATAAGCAAAAGGGTCTAAATATGATTATGATCTATTATGTGAAATGCATAAAATCTCAATAAAAATGTTTTTTGAAAACTGTTAGTAGTCTAGAATACAGTAACATATAAGCCGGAAGAAAACAACACCAATTTGTCTCTAATTTAAAGCATTTATGCACATTTCTAAATTTTTCAGACCATTTATAGTTGTAAGATTATTCACAGAATTCAAAGGATTATATGTTCATTTTCTTAAAAGTAAATATCTCTTAAGAAGCAATTTTATCAGATGAGATGGCTCATGCCTGTAATCCTAATATTGGCAAGGCAAAGGCAGAATTGCTTTGAGGTCAAGACTAGCCTGGGGTGCATAGTGAGTTCCAGAACAGCCTGCTCTATAGAGTGGGGTGCTGTCTCAACAATAATAATAACATCAGCAATATCAACAAACAACAAAAGCCTAAGAAGTTTTAAAAATTTCATTATTAATCACCTGTAACTGAAGGGAAGAATGAAAATTCTTGGTTTTAGTTGTTAGTGGAATCATTGTATCAGATGATTCAGTATATGGAAGGAAGTTCATTCTAGAGTGTTTTTTTTGAAAGCCAGCACTCCTCCGTTTAGCTCGGGAAGGCTCCTTTGCAGAGAGAGGGCATCTGTGGGCCACGATTGGTACTACTGCTGTACACCACTTGGAGACGCTCTACCACCAACCACATACTTGCAAGACTGAGGCTGCCTGGTCTATGCCTCATGAATGTACAGGAGATGCTTATGAGTATGTGTGTCACTCATCTAAGATCAAATCACCATGGAAGGGAATTGGATTCTTTACATGTGAACACCGGAGAGGAAATGGAGTCAGTTCTTTTCATCAGGTAAGAGTCCTAAAAGGGTGCCAGAAAAGACCCAGGAAACTGCCTTTGCTAACCTGTGTCTTCTTGCTGAAACAATGAGGGAGGGAGGGAAGGAAGGAAGGAAAGAAAACAAAAGGTTAATAAAACAGGGAAAGGAAGGTGACTTCCAATGATGTAGCCCCTGGGTTATGACTTGAATGCCATACTCATGAGATATAAATTATTATTGCCTTAAAAAGCAAAAAGCATTCTTCCGATCACAGGACAGTGCAATGAGCCAAACAGTCTAATCTAAAAAGAAACAAGAAGAATGAGCTTGACTTCAGTTCCATTTGTGTGTGCTCATAGCAATGGGTGAAAACGAGAGTAAAATCTGAAACACACAGCAGAGGTCACTATTTAGGAAAAGAGGTGGAGGTGCAGGGCAGGGCAGGAAGGTGTAGGGGGAAAGTAAGTGAAAATTTAACAGAATGGGAGATGAACACATTCTGTGCTCTGTAGATGGTTTCTATTTTCTTTTTAAACACACTAGCAACTAAGATGTATTTCTGAACAGTAGAACAGTTCAATAGCAATGCAATATTTGCCAAATTAGTCTACATCTATAATAAAGCACCTGGAAACTGTACATAATTTTGAAACTGTTGGTGATTTCTTACTATTTTAATGATGAAGCATTTACTGAAGGCACTGTCCTTTACTTTAAGATTTATTGTGTTGCCCAAGCTCTTCTTTTCAAATTCTCTGGGCAACCTTTCTTGAGAACACCATATCTATCACCCAGGCAAAAGGGAACAACTTCATTTTTAAGCGTAAAGGGGAACAGTTAAAACAAGGACTATCTATAGCTGTGTGAGGTCAAACACGTCTGCAGTCAAGTCTTGACTCCTGCCTAGTTTTAGTCTTTATGGAAAAATATTGAGCTACAATGTGCTGCTCTGTGTTCTCTGAGCAGTTTATTTGAATTAGTTAAGCCTTTTTATTACATAGGCATTTTGAGGAGCCTTTCAAGTTTCTCAAATCAGTTAAACTGTTCAACATTAAATGCCTATGTTTTTAAAACACAGGACCTTTTTATTTTTATTTTTTTAAATAACATTCTACAGTTAAGACCTAAGAATACTATAGTAATTATTTTCACGCAACTTAAAAAATCATTGAGAGAATGCTTGTGCTTAAAACTCATTCTCTTTCAATTAATCTTGTAATCATAGCTACTGTCTTGTCTTTGCTTTGCTTGGTGTATATAAAAGTGGGACTTTGGTTTTCATTTTAAAAGCATCTAGATCATCTATAAAGTTTATCTAAAATTAGATTAGTTGTAAGTTTATCAGATGGGACTTTTAAAGTTTCAACCTTTCATGTACTTCCTTAAATACAATTAAGTAATCAAAATCTATCTCATTTTAAGAAAATTAACTTTATATTCATTTCATCAAGAAAGAATAAACAATATCTTATTGTCTTTAACTTTTATCTTTGTACTTTTATGAACTAATACTTCTTTCGCTTAAAATTAAGATTGATACAGGAAGTCAGTTATGTGTTGATATTAGCCCCTGGTGACTGAGGGGAGCATTATATATTTTAAAAACATAATATTTTAAAAAAACATTTTCCACATGAAGTTTTTATGCCTTGCTAAAGACAGAAATAGAATTGTTCTGCAATATTCTATTAGGAAGTTTTAGCATAACTTTTTCAAAGGTAAGTCATGTGCACATGTGTACACGTGTGCACACGCACACATGTACACGAAGGACGAACATGAAATAAGATGGGTATGATCCACGAAGAGACCAAACAGTGTGCAAGGCACGCACAGAAACTTAAATTAGGGGAATGACTTTACATTCGCTTCTCCTTTCCTAAAATGCAAAATGTAGGTTTTCCTTAGACCTCTGTATTGGAAAATGTATCAATAAGAATCCACAGTAATATCCATGGAAAAGTAATACACAGAAATATATCTCAAATATAGAAAGGAGCAACTCTTACCTCCATCTCCAGACCCCGATCCTGCATCTGGGAAGGAATAAAAAAAGATACACAGTTTATATTAACTTGAAAATTATATTGGAATACAACGTTTTCAAATCAAGTTTACTTCCTTTTGTTCTATTTTGTTTTTACAATAGGGTCATTTGTAACATAGACTGGTTTGGAACTTGTCTGTAGATGAGAATGATCTTCAACTCCTGACCCTCCTGTCTTCCCCTTCTAAGTGCTGGGACTCCAGCTGTGCACCAATATACTCAGATTGTTCACTTTCTTAAGACTGAAATATGATTGGTTTTGAAAATTAGTAATATTAAATGATTATGTATAATTTTATCAATTTAATCCAATATGTAGTAACATAATACCTATGCAATGTTATCATTTTTTGTTTGTTTGTTTTTGTCTTTTGTCTTCCTGTAGCCCCAGGAAGACTGGACTTACAGTGTAGACCAGGCTTGACTCATTCTCACTTGCCCTTTCCTCTTGAGTGGTGTGTGCACCATGCCTGGCTATCATTGTTATTTTTAAATTTTATAAAAATTTCCCAGCTTTGGGAAATTTCCTAAATCCTATTTCTATTTTGATCAGGCTGGACTTGAATTCTTTAACAAAAAGGACTTGAAAATGAGATGCTTCTATAATCATGTTTTCGAAATGAAACACTGTATGTTGCAAATAAACTCATAATTAAGGCTTTCACTTTTACAAATTGCTTATGAGTAGGATAAAAAGAGTTTAAAGGAAGTATTTTATGGCATTGATGTGCTTACCAATATCACACTTCTGATGATCCTATCTGCGACTACAGCATTGCTTTGAAATTAATAGAAAAGTAAGCTTAACTTTGCCTTTGTGCTTAGAACTGGATAAATACAGAGATGCTGTCAGTAAAAATACAGTCCCCCACTTGCTGAATTTCTTAATCTGTTTCTTCCTTCCTTCTCTCATATGGTAATTACAAGTAGTCAAAGGTAACTATTTCTGTGAACTCAGTTTCTAGAAATTGCCAGTTTCCTAGTCTGAGTGAAGACCATTGAGCTTCCATCTATTTCTAAGTTTATACATTATCTTATTGCTGCCTTCTCATTTTTCTTTCATTCTAAATGTATTTGGTTATGTAGTTTTAGGGTGAAAACTAGCAAGTATAACAATATGGGTATTCTCTTTCATTGTAACTCTACATTGGAAGTTTCACCGAAGCTCAAGACTTATATCAAATGCTTCCTTTTGGAATTTGTGTCTGGGGTTTTAGTTTAATAGTAAACATTTTTTTTCTACTCATCTGCTTCCATGACACTTTGCTGAGAAACATTATGTGGAGTGGCATGGTGCATAAAAATTGATATGACTGACAAGTGTAGGAGAATGGTGTCCTCCATGTATGATATTAACACTGCTGTGAAGGAGCAGGGGTTAAACTGACACTTTTGTTGGTGACCCACATTTAATTAAACTCACAGGTCTAAAATTGTATTACTCTAGAATGTAAGTTCATTGATTAGCTGTTTCCATGATTGAGTATGTTTTACAGACAACATATACTTTCATGGAAAGGAAGCTTAATTGATAAAACTATTTATAATGAATTATAAATATACTTCTTGGCAAATATAGAAGTGAATTATGATTATAATATACTTGTGTTCCTAGGGGACAAAACTGCAAGTGGCACTATTACAGGGCTTAATGTGTCTTACCCATATTTTAGCTGTATATATAGTTTGTTTTCCATTTCCTATCAAAATCAGGAGCTTCTGTCAGGCAAGGACAGCAATGATGTGCATTCCTTGGAACTTTCATGTGAGACATAAGGAAAGATGTAGAAAAGCTGATGGGTTCCAGTTTTCAACCTTTATTCGGCAAATGACACAAGACATATTATGCAATCTTCCTAAGCATATTCTTTCTGTTTGATAGGAATAGTAATGCTGATCTCATTGGGCTATTTTTAAGTTTACTGAACAATAACTTATGCTAAATGTGTAAACACTGTCTGGAATACAATCGTTAAAGTGTTGTGTAAACATCTTGCCTATTCATCTTTAGACTTTCCAATAAATATATGTGATGGGAAAATGAAAGGGAAAATGTAATAGTATTTTGGCTTGTGTCTCCTAAATGTGTTTATAAAATTTCAAAAGATTCAAAAGATTCAATCTACCACATGATTAGTGTTTGATTTGACTCAAATTAAAAAGCTAGGGAAGAAAGGAGGAATAGATGGGAAAATGGTCACTGAATTCAACAGCATCATTATGAAATACTTATGGGAAGCTTTAATGCTTTCTCAATTGTAGGATGAGTCATTTTGGCAACCCAGAAATAAGTGGCCTAGGAAAGGCACCATGAGGCAGAAACAAATGAGCAAAGATGCTGTTAGACTCAAATCTGAGTGCTTTACTGATGCAGTTCTTACAAAGCAAGAAGTTAAGGTGGCAAAGGGACTATCCATTAGGGATTCACATTCTGAATAAAAACAGACTTGTAAGATCAGTGATATAAAACAAATGTAAAATTATATGTTCTCTGGCCTTTTATTCCTAGAGAACACAATTTGCCATCTCCACTCAGGGTCAAAGACTATTAAAAATAAATGGGGAACATTTTGAAGAAAAGGCAGAACCCCAATTTATTTTCCACCAGACCTAGTTAATCAAAATCACTTGGTCTTTCCATCACTGGTCAGATCAAAACCCTTTAAGATTTACTGGTCAATGGAAGATGCATCCAGCCAAACTGGCTGACTAATTAAATCCTGCAGTATCTAAATATGCAAATGAGGTAAGGACAGCTTCTTCAGTTGTGTCTTCAGTTGTGATTAAATTTTCTATTCGACTAAGTATTTATTTCCATAGTAAAATCAGCACATTGGGAACTAGTGTAAAGAGTCTTGAATGAATCAGGAGGATGTGGCCTGTGTGTGCTGATAAGAACTTGGAGGGTGAGAGGAAGGATGTAATTTTTGGTTGCAGATGCCATTTGCCATGACCATAACTCCTGGTCTGCTTATGACGACTGCTGCATGCCTGCCAGTCCTCACTAGGTCATATGCCAGGAAGTCTTGATCACCATAGTCAAAGCTTTTCCTTTCTACTCTATGTTTTTTTCCCATAACTTTCCTGAGACCCAAAGGTTCCATTCTCATTATTCCATTAGTCCTAAAGTCTGTTTATTCTTTCATTCCTTGTCCTTTGGTAGAGCTAAGTGATTTATTTTCATAGTTTGTTAATTGTTCTTTCTGTGTCCCCCATCCTTACCCTCAAGATAGGCTGCTGTTCCTCCTCTACTGCTGGGCAACTTTACCCCCTGACTTGCACATTCTACTGTCACTTTGAACCAAGCATCAATGACCTGCTTGTTCTGCCAAATAAGCAGCAAGCAGAGACCATTCCGGCTTATCTCCTGACCACCTACTAGAAAGATTATTCACATCCTGAGGCAAAGAATCCTTTAGGAGAAAAGACCACTTAACAAACAACACAAAATCAAAAAGGTTTGTGTCTGTCCCTGAGAGGTTTCCCGAGTTCTTTGCTCATTTCACAGACCTTGGTAGTCAACAGGATACCTTTGAAGACTATTTATCAACAACTAGCAGGCTGAGGTTAATCTTTTAAGGAAAGTGAGACTTTTCTCCTTGCTCATTTTCTACTGTACTCCAACAAACAAGCACATATATTCACATAATGTTCTAAAGTAGAAATACTTTTTATCCCAGAGGGATTTTATATAAAATAGACTTTCCCTGGTGTTATTTCCTATTCTTCAAGTTCTCTTATTGTATCATTATTTTTCCTAAATATGCTTATGTCACTCAAATTCTCAGAAACTATGACTTCACAGAAAGTCTTTGTTATTAAGGATAGCTATCACGATGCACTAATATTTCTTTAATACAAGTGGTTATGATACCTGCAACCAAACAGTACTCAGCTCGACTTTAAAGTATTGCTCTGTTAAGGCAGGCTCCCTCCCTGATGTCCCCTATTGTTTTTTGTTTCTCTTCCTGTAAATGCTGCTGAGTTACATCAACTACTGCACAAAGGGAAAAAAAGAAAGAAAAACAGAAAAGCTAAGGATCATATAAAGTCACTTTTCCTTCTCACTTTCTTTATAGCATTCTTGGGACAGTATAACTAAAAAGCTATGAGGAATCTGAGTTAACTGTGTCCAAAAGACAGATGCTAGCATAAATTATGCACACTGACAATACATTCTTCAATATGACCTGCTAAATGATTAGACATGAATTTTGTGGAGCCATCAGTACCAGATTTTAACTTCAGAACTCAAATCTGCAAAGGTGGACTCTAACAGATAGTTTTATTTCTCAAAGGAGCAACCAACCAACCAACGAGAAACTACTCATGCATAGACACATTTCTGTAAATTTGGTACCTGGGCAATCAATAAAGATTTTTAATTATATTTTATTCAACTGTCTGTCTTCAATAAACAACATATGTATTTAAATCTATCAGTTGCTTAAGATACCGTTCCTCTTTCCTAGAGAAATATTTAAAATGTAAAAAGACAAAAATAAGGCATATTTTGTACCAAAGAATAAGTTGAATCCCTAGTTGATATTCAGCCTGATTATCTTTTGGAGCTTACAGAAGCTAAAATTTTGGACTCAGAATACATTCAGGTCTCAGGGAGTGCTGTGTGCTTACCTGTAGCACAGGATCCTTCTGAGATTACAAGTATCTCACTCTGCTGTTTGCAGGCTGCTTGCCTCAGGTAGCATTCATTCTGGTAGCTCTCCCCATTGGAGCCACACACAGGCACGTAGTCACTGTTACACTGGGAAACAAAGAGATAAAAGACTACAGTTATTCCTGAAGTCTGCATCCCTCTAACATCCTAAACACAAATAACCATTTCCAAAACAAACCACTTCCCGTAGTTTTCATTAATCCTCATTGTATCCTACAAGTCTCTGCCTTGTAAGTGCATCATTGAAAGATACACAAAAGCAATGTCAAGTCAGGCAATTTGTCATTTGATTTAGACAGAAGGAACACAAAGTATCTAAATTGATTAGAGGATTCTAAGAAAGTGACTGAACCATTAGCACACAAAAGATATAGCAACAAACACACCGCTATTATTTAATTTTTCTCTAATATATAGCCCATCTGACTTCCTAGGGGAAATAAAAACACAGCACTCTATAATGTCAGGGTATTCAAAAGCAAGGTTAACATTTGTCTGTGTTTGGAGCAGAAACAGTTGGCTGTAATTCCAAAATTAAAATAAAATTATAAAAGAAAATAAACTCAGGTAACTCCTTGCTTCTTACTTTTTTGTTAATTGTAATCCTTACAAATTAGGAAACATTCAGATAAGGCAGAATCTAGAAACAAGACTATCAAATATAGAGGCAAACCTTTCACAACTACTGAAATACATGTCAAATTTGTTCGATATTCCAAACACAACTATTCATATATATTTCAGAAAGAGAAAAATTCATTTTTAAAAATAACCTCGTTAACAAAAACTACACATTTTTACAATGGAAATTAGGCAACCTACTGAGTATAGTCATCATAATATAATCACACTCCAAGGCATTAGTGATAGTTGGCTGTGTCCTATACCTGCTAATTACACTGGGATGTGATTATCTCATGATTACTATTACTGATGCACTTCATTGTTTAATTATAACAAATGAAATGATCAAGATGATTATTTATAAAGGCTTACCTATGCCAGAAACTAAGGAAGGAAAATCATGCATAGAGATACATGTGAAAACACTTTTCTGTTTTCCACTTTTAATTAAAATGTTTGAACTTCTGACATGCTATATACTTACACTACATACAAAATAAACCAGCAACCTATTGCAGTAGCTAGGAAAATTTTAATATGTATGCTAATATGTTTAAAATTCTATCACACAAAACTTTAACTCAAGAGTTTATGCCAGAGAAACCTGAGGTGAGGTGAGAACTTAATTGAAAAAACTTGAGTAACAATTTATGGTCTTATTTTACTGTAATTTCTTACCATGTCTATCCCTTTTTATTCACAAGCAACTATTTAACTCTTGTTTTTTGCCTTTGCATAACTTTGTTATCCTGACAAATTCACTTATTTATTTTAGGATATGTGTACATGATCCTGAATGTGCCTGTGGGTTCAGGTGATGTGTATGACCCTGTGTGGAGTCCAGAGGTTGACCTCAAGTACCTACCCAATCACTTCTCCACGCTCTTTTGAGTCAGGGTCTCACTGCATCTAGAGCTTATTAATTCAGCTGATGGAGTAGCAAGCTTCAAGGTTTCTCTTGTGTTTGCTTCCTCATCTTTGGAATTACATACCTATACTGTTGCACCTGGATTTTTATATAGGTACCGGGAATTAATCTCAGATCCTCATGCTTCCACAATAAGCCTTTTATTGACTAAGCCATTTACCCAGTCACCCAGTCTCCCAACATCTGGCATTTTTTTTTTTTTTTTCTGAGACAGTGTGCCCAAGTAGCCTGGAACTCACTACGTAGACAAGGCTAGCCTTGATCATCATAGAGAGCCCCTTATCTCTGTCTTCTGAATACTGCTGGGATTAAAGGGTGTGTGCTACCATGCCTGGTTTGCCTGACAAATTTTTAAGTAATATAAATCAATGTTTGCTGTAATGAAAGTAATATTAGTCTTGATTTTTATCTATCACCAAATAACTTAAATATTATATTCTACTAATTGTCTATTTTCCCAATGCATAAATCCAAATTTTATAGTACTCCTATTATGATGGTGACAATTGCTAACAGCATGATTTACCACATATTTGAGAAATCTTCATCTTTCTTCATTAATTTCTAAAATTAATAATGTAGGCATTCTGGAAGTCTTCTGTTTAATAATTTCACTCCACAGTTATACTGATGGTTCTTAGGCTTAGTTTAGTTTATATAGTATATATATCATATAATATATAGCTTATATTTATTTAATACATTATAAGCATTATATGTAGTTTATGTTATATATTATATATAAATATATATGCAATTGATTTGATTATAATTTTTGGAAATCATTGCTAACATCTGATCAATAAGCAACTCAATTCTACTAGGAGCAACCTATGGAAAGGATGCCTTTACTGAGCTTTTACTATGTATGCATAGTTTTACTTATATTTGACTGTTTGCTTTTTTGTTTGGTTGGTTGATTTTGAGACAGGGTTGTCCTGTAGCCCAAGTTTTCCTGGACCTCACTATATAGACCAGGCTGGCATTGCTCTCACAGAGATCTGCCTGCCTCTGCCTCTCAAGTGCAAAGATTAACTAAGAAATGAAGCAATCTAAATGTCCCTCATCTGATGAATGTATAGTTAAAATGTGGTATACAATGGAGTTCTACTCAGTGGTAAGGAAAGAGGAAATCATGAAATTTGCAGGTAAATGGATGGAATTAGAAACTGCTATACTAAGTGGAAAAGCAAGTGACGTATGTTTTCTCTCACTTGTGGATCTTAGCACTAAATCCTTGTATGTGAGTATGTATCTTGTTAGAATCACAGAAGCCAGAAAAAATGGAAAGGAACCATGGGAGTAAAGGGAAAGAAAGACCCCCGGGGGGGAGGGTAATAGGAAACATATTTTACCAAGGGTGGAATGGGAAAAATCGGAGTATTTAACTGGGAAGAGAGGAAGGAAAGATATACAAGGAAATATGGGGGTCAAGGGGAAGAAGGAGCTCAAGAGGGGGAGATAATAGAAGGCAGGTATTATCACAAGGGGAAATGGGGGAAATAGGGCTACTGTAATCAAGTACTGGGATTAAAGGTGTGAGCCACTGCATCTGGTTTTGAAGAACATCTTAAGAAAAGTATCTCTGGTATTCCTCAAGACAAAGGGCAACAGAAAAATGTCAATGAAAAGGTGAATTTCCCAATGATAAGTACTGGAGAGTAATGGATAAATAAGACTGGTGCTAATTTCATACTTGTGACGGCAAAAAGCAAGTGGGTTACACAAGGGCTTGAGAAATGTGTAGTGTTCAGGACCTGGGACAGCAGAATGTAGAGCCTTTGGGAACTCTCTAATCCTATAATGGTATCTGAGAGCCTGGACAAGAGAGTAGAAAAGGGATACAACTGGCAACATTGTAGACAGCAGACTGGCTTGGCATTTCAGTAGACAAATGCAAGTTAAAATGAGAGTGGAGGCTGACTTGTTAACTTTTTGTTCTTAGGTCTGACATTCTTCCCCCTGGTTATCTTTTAATAATTAACTTCAACAATACTTGGTGTATGGATTATTTAGTTCCACGTTTTCTTCTATCCGCCTCTAACTTTTCCATCTTCAACCTTCTCATTTACTTCTGAAGATTAGACAAGAGTAGAGTCAATGGACTGAGTGGGAAGTGGAAGTATTTATTATCTTTGTCAAGTGCTGGTACACAATGCTGATAGGTATCTTAAAATGTCGAATAAACTGAAAAAGTATTCATATGTCACTTCTGAGGGATGCAGCAAGCCAAATGTGAACAGTGCTAAAAACAGAGCTGCCAAGTTCCATGCAGAAGCCAACAGGGAGATTTGTATAGAGCTGAGAAGGGCTTAACTGTGGATTATCACCAAGATGCTTCTGGCCCTTGGTATCACGACTTGCACTCATTAAAATGAATTGCATAAAAGGAAAAGTGTGGTCTCACCCACCACAGCTCAACAGTGGAGGTCTAGTTGTAGGTTTTCTTTCATCGCTCATTGTTTTTATGTAGGACTTGGGTATGTTACTCAATGATTAAATATTTATAAGTTTTTAGCTCAGTTTCTCAAACTGAAATGGTGAATAGGTGTGTGTGTGTGTGTGTGTGTGTGTGTATGTCTGTGTTGAACTAACAAATTTGTGTTTTAAGAACATGGACTTCTTTGCAAATATCACCTATAAAAATGTAAATTATTTGACATTCATGACTTGTAACTGGCAGAGTCACTTTGTTTTCAGAATTAGAAAACAAAGAAAACACTGTAACTTACCATGAAAATAGGCTACCTACTGAATTAAAATATGCTAAACTCTTGGCTATAGTTGCTAATGGTAATAATGATAGCGTTCAGGGTCTGAGGAAAGGGCAAACTCAAATGTTTAGTGACTTACTAAAGGCCGCATAGTTGGCTAGGCAAAGAAAATGAAAATTCAAATCCAGAGGGCTGGGTCCACAAGAAACTACATAAACTTCTAAGAGGAAAAAGTGATTCTATTTTTCCTGTTTCTAAAAAATGTTGTTTATTTTCCAAACATGTGTTCCAATAAAATGATTTAGTCCAAAATTTCCACATTGTTGAAGATACCAGCAATCCACTATGCTAGTGTTTTCAACAACTTGACCCTCTGGGATAGGTGGAATTCATTTTGGTGCCAAGGAATAAAAATGATGACAAAAGGTTTTCATGTGATTTATTGCTTGTTTGGTTAATAAGAATTTTAAAGCTGAGATTTCAGCAACTAGAATCTATATCTGACTTAAGTTCTATCTACTGCCGGCACCTTCCACAGAGTCTGGCATGTAGAAGGTTCTCAACAGATGTTAAGTAAATTCTGTTATATTCCCAGTTGTCAAAGACTCAGGAAGAATAGCTTGAGATGTGGTATATTTCTCTTTCAGAGAAGAAAATGATAAAAAGAAAGCCCTGTATATATTTCAGTTGTTTGATTATTCCATGAGTAGCTTTTATTTCCCTGTGACTGTATCCTTTTGCATGTATAATTTTTATAGTTTGAGGAGAGCACAGGCCTTTGACTTTGGTGGAGGTGGCTCTGTGTGACTTTCCATTAACCCAGGTTTTATCTGGCTCTTTTTCTATCCCCCCGACCCCCCGACATTTGTTTCATTTGAAACCTAAGACTGTGCTATCTAAGCCCAAAGTAGCCCATGTAGAGAGATGGATGTGGAGAATAACCAAGGTTCACAGCTGGTAGGCAGACATGAATCAGAGCACTGCAAAGAGCACAGCACCAAGCCTATGAATGACCTGCCCTGTGCCTTAGTTCAGTGGAAAACAGAGCAAAGGCAAGCTCTTTCAAAGAACCTCATCCAAATTGCAGTTTCATGAACAAAATAAACATTCATTGTCAGTCTCTAAGTTCTGGGGAATATTTTGGGTTTTCTTCACTTTGAGACAGGGCCTAGAAATCCCTGTGAAGACCAGGCTGACCTTGATATTACAGAGATTTGTCTGCTTTTGCTTCCTCAGTGCTGGGATTAAAGGCCATTTACCACCATACCTGTCCTGGGCAATGTTTTAAGCAGTCCTAGTAACTGGAACATTTACAGATAAAAGCACAATTTATTAAATGAAAATATTTAATATTTGAAATAAATAATTCCCAAGAAAGCATAAGGCTGCATCACATTTTAAACTTGTAAAGTGATCACAGACCATTCTTTGATCAGTATTAAGAACAACTATGTGTGTTGCTCTTCCCCATTCCCACCCTTTATCCTTCTTTCTACCTTTTCTTCCATCCATTCATCTGTTTACCATCTCTAAATTTTTATTCTCATAATTGATTTACAACACTGGCTAATATTTCCTTTGATATGCTGGTAGGAAGGTAGTGGTAGAGGATATCTCTTATCCAAAGTGTTTTGGACCATAAGCATTTGAGATTTTGGAGTTTTGGAGATTTAAGAATAGACTTTGCCCTTTGAGCATCCCTATACAAAAACCCAAATTCTGAAATTCTTCAATTCAAAAATTTTAAGTATCGTGGTGTACTTCAAAATTTTTCATAATGTGGATTTCTGGATAACAGATGCTCAATTTGTACTGATTTGAATATAAATTGTTGTCTATAATAAAGAGACACTGTTGCTATCTTACTAGTATTTTCATTTACATGTAGAAAAATGTGGGAAAATTTAAATTGGAGCACTATAAATACTGACATAATTTATTTGGTCTATTGTGATTTTTACCCTAGGATTATGACTTAATGGTAAATTATTCATATTAATAAACCTTAAATTTTACCATTTTTTAAAAAGAAGATAAGGTCTGAGAGTATAGCTCAATAGTAGAGCACTGAGCTAGAATGTTAAGGCCCTGAATTCAACCTCTGGCATTTCAGAAGAAAGAAACAGAGAGAAAGAAGAGAGAGAGAGAGAGAGAGAGAGAGAGAGAGAGAGAGAGAGAGAGGGAGAATGTCAATCAAACAAGATTATCTAATGCAGTTGTAAGAAATGAATGAGGTGTGCATGTCAAGGCTAGAAGTTGTTTTTTTGAAGCATCAAAGGGAAGAGAAGAGTAATATATGTTCATTTCAATTAATAATCCAAATTTGATGACATTATAGGTTATACACAATAGGCCCACTTCTGTTGAAATTCATTTCACAGTCAGAAAGACTAAGAATAAAAGAATCCTTGCTTAAATCTGAAAATCCAAGACACACAGAAATTTAGGATACAATATAGAAGAGATTTTTAAGACTTTTTTTTATCAGTTAGGAGTGGAAGAACATTGACAAACAAAACAAAACAAAAAATCCCAACAAAACACAAAACTTAAGACTGGGAAAAGACTGATTCAAGAAACTGCGGCTTAACACAGCCTGTCACCATACTTCGTACAACTTGTGCAATTTTATTTAACAATCACCTTGACATAAGCCTTCAATATTCCTGATGCATATAAAATCTAAATGTATTACTAGTAAGATGTATATTTTTCTCCTGAAAGACTGACTGTTGCAAAACACATATTAATAGCAGTATAATAGCATAAACTTTACATTTTAGTTTCCTATTTAAACTTTTATTTATTCTCAGCAGTCTACTCTACAACTATGCGAGTTCATACAGCTTGGTTGACCACGTAAGGAAAACACAAATATGTTAGTGATAAAAATTTTGAAAATCTCCTGTGGGCCCTAAAATGAAGCACAGTTAGTTTAATAAGAAAAAAGATACATTTCAATTTCATAGCATTTGTCCAGTAACAATTATATCAACTGCTTCTATTCCTTCCAGATGAAGTCTATGAAACACAAACATCAATTTGATGGATACTCTTACTGGATCATTTTATACTCCATATGATTTTACTTGGTGTATCTACTCTTGGTTGCACAAATAAGAGAAATTTATGGGAATCACAAAATTAAAATGAAAAAATTCCCATGGATTTTAAATTAGTGATTTTTCCAATATAGTTTTTCCTTTTGGTTAGTATTTGAGGAAATTATGATCTGGGGAATGCTTTTTTTTTAAACTTTAAAAAAAATTATTTGTTATTTTTATTTTATGTGCATGCTCATATTGCCTGCATGTAGGTAAGTGCACCCATGTCGTGCAATGCCCACAGAGGTCAGAAGAGGCTGTTGGATCCCTTGGGACTGGAGTTACGGACAGTTGTTAGCTGCCATGTAGGTGCTGGGATTCGAACCCAGGTCTTTTGTAAGAACAACCAGTGTTCTTAACTGCTGAGCCATCTCTCCAGCCCCAAACTAGGGAATTCTTATGATACATATCTCTCATCTTTCATGTAGCTCACTGACAGAGCATTACTCATTGCTCATTGTAGTAGAAACTTTGGAATTTGATGTCACGTGTATATTAAATATGCACAAATATATTTCTAAGACTATAGTAATGTCTTAATGATTGCACTTTCACAGAAATACCTATTTACTATGGAATGGGATAATTTATGAGTTTGTTTACTGTGTTTCTTTAAAAGGAAAAATTATAATACCCATGGAGCTTTTAGTTTACCTAAAAGTAACTCAAACCATAGTTAAATGTGAATTCCCTTATTTGCCTCACCAAGATGTTGAATTCAAATTCAAAAATGTAATTTTATAAATTATAAATATTGTACGTTAGATATTTAGATCTGAATTTTAGTTTGATGTTTTTATTTGTTCTTGAATTCATTTTTCTTACGCTATTGGAAAGTGTTCCTTATTATGCACACATTTTTTAGATGTGTATTTCTTGGTGTAGTCCAGTATTAAATTTCAAAGTGTATTTTTAAAAAATAATTCCATAACACTCAGGGGTGAATAAAAGATGTTAGTGCAACATTTATGTGATTTGAGGATAAACACGATTTTGTGATTTTTTTTGAGAGGAAGAGAAGTCTTACATTTTCCACATGGCCAAAACACAAGATGAACAACTGCAGTAACAATCATGGGTGAGTTATCTGAAATTAATTCTAATAACCTAGTTTTAACCAACTTTGTAACCATTTTCTCTGTAAAATTGTTGAAAACATTTATGACACATGACAAAGTGCATCTTTCTCATGTTTATGCATGAACTTGTGGCTCAATGTGTCCATCTGGATTCCTGGGAGACTCACTTGTCATTGAATGTAGTACTCATGAAAAAGTTAATATATATTAGCAAGGTCCAAGATTTCCAAGTCGGTATAGTAGTTTTGGAGTAACCTTAATAGAAGTTATTTTAAAATTTTAATCGTATTGACAGGATAATGAAACCAAAGCCCATTAAAACAAAGAACAATAAGGTCAAAAGATGACAACCATAGTCAAGAAGAACAAAAGTACAAATTCGCACTTTTTACCCACTGACTATTTTGACAATTATTCTCAGTCAGTTGACTCGTAAAATGCATGCTAGGCGGCTGCTATGCCGGAAGGGAGACATAACTTTCCTTCTACATCTAAAAAGCACAACTTGAAAATATCTACCTTCGGTGACATTTATAACTGTGGCATGTACAGGTCTCCAAAAGGCATATGTCTTCGTGACATCAGCTAGCTGTCTTGCCAGTACTTTTGATTTTACCAGCCATAGTTGTAAATTGCCAAGTGATGGGCTATAAAGGAAACTCTCTGCCTTTTGTCAATTTAATGCATTAGAAGATGCAAATATAAGGTGTCTTACCTTGAACTGACAGACGCAAGTCACGGTGTCTCCAATTCTTAAACATTCCCCATCAAATTTACAGGTGTTGGTATCACAGAGGAAGAGATCATTTTCTCTGTCATCATAACCTTCAATTTAAAGAGAACATGCCCGTCATTTTAAAAAGTTATAGAATTTTTAAAGAACACTATCTAGTAGCATTAACAGATGTGTCCAAAAATGTAATTCTAGCAAACATAGATAGTTTATAAGGATTCTCTCTACTGATAATGTCAAAATCTAGTTAATGATCAATATTAATTTATGTTTTCACGGTAATTTTTAATCAATTCTCCTGCATTATCTTTTGATCATAATATTTTATTTTAGCTTGAGTTAATACTGACTGTGAATGAAAGTTTGCTATTTGCTTCTCAGCTTCCTTATTTTTTCCTCATTAAGTGGGCTTATTTGTGACACCAAACCCAACATTTTGGAAGAGAGCTGATGATACTGTGTGAATAGCATTTTGCAATTTCTCCATCTTTAATTGTTCTTTCATTTAAGGTCTGAAATGACCCCATTATTTGGAATATCTCCAGACAAAGAGGAAACAAAGCCCCAATAATAAAGATAAACAGGCACAGTGTTTTCTGTGATGGTCTGTCTGGCTCAAATGAAGATTGATCACCTCCAAGTTAACAGGGGTGGGAAGGGGTTGCCAAGTTCTTGAAGGTCTGCCTGGAAATCCAGTTCATCCTTTTCAGTTTGTGCACATCCTTTTAAGATATCTGGCTAATAATAAATTTCAACATTGCCAATGCCAATGTCACATTTAAGTTAGTTGTTTCCTATAACAGTACTATTTAGGCATAGTTGTTTCTTATAACAGTACTATTTAGGGATAAAACAAACTAGTCATGTTGTGCTACAAAGACATCAACATTAGATATAATCAATTTTTAAGGTTGTTATGTTCCTAAGTTCAATTTGTTCTTTCAAAAATAGCATACATGCACAAGAACCAAGAATAAGTTAGAGACATGTTGAGTTTCACAAAATTCCAAATTTAGAAATTACCAAAAGCAGAACAAAGTAAATCTACTGACCCAAATCTAATAGGACTGCAAATTTCAAATCATCTTAAATTAAACTAGAATGATGCATATCCATTTTCTGTTTTGACTTTACATTAGTGATATCTTACAGATGCAGGTACTTTCACCAATAAGTTAGTTGTCATTGTCTCCTCTCAAAAGTCACACACACTTCCTTCAGTTCACAGATGCATGAAAGCCACCTCAGTTGAAGCCAGGTTTAACTGCGTCAAGATTATATTTACAGAAGTTGCAATATTACAAATACATTTGCTAAAACTAGAGTAAACCAGACCTAAATACCTAGACACATTAATGGAGTTTAAAATGCCAAAGGAATCCCACTACAATTCTGCAGGTATACTAGAGACAGTCACACTAAAATGTGAAGCAGGATATGAAGAGACCAGAAACTCCAGTTCCTGGGCCCTATTCAATTAAAAGCTTCAGCAGAGAGCAGTTGGTCAAGTTCTAGCATTCTGACAGGGAGGAGCATTCTGAATGGACAAGAAGACTGTCTCCTACAGAGGCCAGTGTTGAAGGGTAGGGGTCAGAGCCCAATGGGCCAAGCTGGTTCACTGTGCTCTCAGAAGGGAGTCTGCTGGGGGAGGGGGAAGGCTTGCCATACCCACCAGGACCTGAGGGAATCTATGAAGGCTTCTTTCTCAACTTTTCTGCTCCACACAGGAGCTTGAGAAAGGGTGGGATGTACAAAATCAACATCTTTCAAAATCAATGGCTTTTGCAGTCAAGGAGAGAGGAAGAGAAGGGGAGGGAAGGGAGTGGAAGGCAGGAGGGAGTGAAAGAGAGGAAGGGAGGGAGGGGAGGAGAGAAGGGAGTATGAGGCAGGGAGGGTGAAAGGGAAAGGGGGGAGAGAGAGAGGGAGAGAGAGAGAGAGAGAGAGAGAGAGAGAGAGAGAGAGAGAGAGAGAGAGAGAGAGAGAGAGAGAGAGAGAGAGAGAGAGAGAGAGAGAGAGAGAGAGAGAGAGAGAGAGAGAGAGAGAGAGAGAGAGAGAGAGAGAGAGAGAGAGAGAGAGAGGGAGATTTAGACTCTGGAAACTTGCCTCCTTTAGTCTTTGTTTCTGGGGTCCTACGTAGAAGACCCCTGCACCCAGAGGCACTTTTGGCAGGAATTAAGAGCTCCCCCACAGCCACCATTTGATTTATTGCTTTCTCGAGTCTTCTTATGAAGTTATTACTCCCTCATCCTAGCTAGATTTTTTCTTTAACGATGGGAAATATTTTGTTTCCCCTAGGATCGGTGTTCTTTTTCATGAACCCAGAAGACTATCCGGTTTAATATTTCTCGAAATCCTCATAGCTACAATTTAAGTGCAAAGATCTCAGGTTCCTTACACCTGCACTTTGTTCCATGCCAGCACCCGCATCCCTGGCTGGAGCAATTCCCTATGTTTCTTGGGAGGGAGGTGGGAAGTCGGGGTTTTAGGGCAGTAGAAGGAAAAAGATTGGGTAGAGGAACCCGGGAACGAGGTCGGTGCAGGCTCTGCGCATTCTTCTCCGGGTTGAAGGGGTGGAGGGCCGAGGTTCTAGACTTACCAGAGCAGTTCCAGCCGGTGGGCGTTTGGCAGTCACTTAAGGAGGTAGGGAAAGCAGCGAGTTTCACCGGGCGGGCTACGATAAGCAGCATCACCGGCAGCAGCAGCAGCCAGCAAAAGCCCTCGCAAAGTGTCCAGCTGCTGCACTGCCGCGGGGACTCCCACAGCACCATGACTAGTTCGCACAACTCTGCAGCAGCAAAAGGCTTCTGAAGAACACCGGATCGCAGGGGCCAAGCAGCGGGCTACTGAGCATCCCGCGGACCGCGGCAGCAGAGGCGGTGGCAGCGGCAGGGACACCCGGCGGGAAAGCAGGGGTCAAACCCGCGCATGATCTCCAGAGTTTCAGCAACATCCAGGGACCCTGCTCAGCCTGGGGAGCGAGAGGGTCGTCCGCTGAGAAGCTGCGCCGGAGTCGCGGAGAGTCGCTGCCATAAGGGAGAGGGCTCTGGTCAACTGAGGAGCAGGAGGAGACGGAAGGCTGGGAGCAGAGGAGAGGAGGAAGCCGGCAAGCAAGGGAGAGAAGCGCGGGGAGACTGGGTGGAGGAACAGTCACTGCGCCCAGCAGCCCAGCAGCCGCCTCTCGCGCTCTGCCGCCCGCATCCCTCTGGCGTTTGGGAAGCAGCAGGTCCTTAGCCCGCCCGGGGTCACGTGGGAAGCGGCAGTCGGACTCTGATTGGCGGAGCGGGATGCAGGTCCCGGGAGGGAGGGGTCGGCAAGGAGGTGCAAGGAGGAGGCGGCCGCGGATGCCACAGATGGGTTAGCTCACTAGGCTTTCGGCCGAGTGGGGCTAGGCGGGGATGGCTCCTGGGAGAAGCTGAGGCTTCAGGGCAGGCGACCCCCACGCTTTCGTCCCACTTGCCTTGCTTCTCCGCTCCAGAACGCCCCCTGCAGTGCTCCAGGTCCAGACTTGCGCCGGTCTTCGGTGCGTGACCCGGGGCTGCAAACACCCACTGAGGCTGGGTGGCGTTTTCTCCCCGCTGGAGGTGGTGGAGAAGCTTCAGGCTCAGGGGTGCAAGGGAGGAAGCGGTTAAGGAGAAGAGGGCATCCGACCGGCGCCGCCAAGGCTGGAAGGAGATCCAGGCTGGGCATGTCGTGGTGGAGAGTGCAAGGATGTTTCTATAGGCGATAGCAGAGAGGAGAGGGTGAGAGGCTATGGTGTGTGTGAGTGTGAGAAAGCTCTGGATTGCCAGGATGCAGCAGCAGCAGCTCCCCCAGGAGCTGCTACCCGACGGTGCTCGCCAAGTATGCGCCACCAGCCTTGCAGGCTCTTGGCAGTCTCTCCCTTCTCTCTTTTCCCCTTCCTGGCTTCCCACAGATCTGGAGTCGGGCGGCCAAGCTTTGAATCCCTCTCCGAATCAAGAGCTCTGGTATGCCCCGGAGCCTATCTGTGTGTCTGCCTGGAAGGTGCAGTCAAATGTGTTTCGAAGGTCAGATTTGGTCCAGACAGGTGGCCTGAGAAGCGGGAAAGCTCCCCTGCAGACAAGCTGAGCGTGGGTTGCTGGGTGCATCCGCCGAGAAGCGGCCTCTGGGAAGAGAGGACGTACTTGGGCTGCCTGAGCAAGAGCCCTGGGCGCTTTTATGCGGGTGTCTGCTGGATCACCAGAGACCTGCAAAAGGCGAGGTCTAGGGGGCAGGAGTCGCTGGCTCTGCGAGTCTCTTTCCTTAGAACTGGCCCTGTGCAAAAGACATAGCGAGATCTCCTTCCTCCTACTGCGCTCCACGCAGTTGGACACACTCTTTAGCTTAATGGCATGTTAGTTCCGAGGACCCAGAGCTTTCTGGGACAAAGATGGAGAGGAGTGTCCCTCTCCCGTGACTGACTTGGGTCACTACTGCATTCATAGTGATTTTGGATATCTTTCAGGAAAGAGTTTTCTTTTTGTGTGTGTGCTTTCAGTGATTCAGGATTTTTTTTCTCACCAGCACTGTATGTGCTCCCTCTCCGTTGTTTCTCTCCTTCCTCCCCCAGGTCTTTTTCTTTTTTTTTTTTTTTTCAAGAGCCCTCATAAGACTTCCCTTTTCAAATTTCGTTAAATTTCCTTGTTCCCTCTTCTTCCATATCCCCTGAATTTCGACTAAGAGCATTGTTTGATGACACCTAACAAGCAATTACCGTGCATTACAGATTACTTTAAAGAGACACCAACAGACTCTAAAACGGGGATTATCTATCCTCTGCAAACACCACTAGAAAAATAAATTGTGCCAGATCAGTCCTTTTAAGTACCTTAACCTCCGACCTTCTTCCACTTCCTTGCCTTTTAACTTCACCTTTGAGAGACGTGATCTTGCAGCATCTCTGAGCCTCAAAGATACCTCTGTGTGAAGCCCTTTCCTTTATCGCACATCCTGCCTCCCTCTCAAGATTACCTTTTTCCTCTTCTGCCCACCTCCAAAGATTTCAGTATCTCTCTGTCTCTTGCTCCTGGAAAGTAAGGAGCCAGTTCCCAGTTTTGAGTCAATGGCATCTGGATCCTCACCTAGGAAGACTCCATTAACACAGATCAATTTGACCAGACGTTGGAGGCATCAGAAAATCGGCTTCTAGACAGAACAGCTAAATTCTTGAAGAAAAAGGAATGCCCAGAAGATAGAGCTGCCAAGCGATATTGCAAAAACAGAATCAGAGATGCCTTTCGGTGGAGATTGCAACATACGTACAAGCCTAATGCAGATCCAGCCCCATAGCACAGAGTGAGAACCTGTCAGTTTCCACCAGAAAGCTTGTGGGTTGGCAAATCAGGCTCATGAAAATATACCATGATGGAAACTAAAGGCAAAGTCCTACAAAGTGTTTATGCAGTAATTATGATTGGGAACTAATGTGCTAAGATTGCAGGGTTTGATTATAAAGTAAAATCGTAAAGAACCTCTTAGAGAAAAACTGTTACTGTATTCTCTGCTAAGTAAATTTGTGGCATGCTTTGTAATAATATGTACTCTTCTTCAGACATTTTGCCCAAAATAAGTTAAAACACCAAAGGAATTCATTACTGGTTGTAACTGGTTAATGCAGTTGCCTCCACAGAGGTTCTTTAAATTATTAAGCAGTTTGAACCAAAGCATTTAGGATGGGAATGTTTCGATTTTGTCCCCCTTACGATGCACTTAGTGTTACAGTGCCACCAGGAATGAATTCTGAAACTGGCAGGCACCACCAAGTGGCAGAAGAGCATCATTCATTGAACGGAGCATTGTAATGTTGAATATGTAAATACAATATCTACATTAGTCAGTTTATCATTAGATACCAAGGAAGTAGACAGACATTACATTTTATTGCCATAAGATTGTGTTAGTGCTTCAACTCTTCCCCTGCAGGGTCAAATCAGTTTACCTATTACAATTAAATTTAAAAGCAGGCCCATGAATTGTACCTTGCATTGCATATTATATGATTACTAGTAATGTGATCCAATCATGCCGTGCATTTTCAAACTTCCTATTTTAAAATAGTACACAATATTAGCTTTCAATATTCCTAACCTAGGATACTTCAGTTGTGATGATACATACTCTAAACTTGGTAGAGGGATGCAGGCTCATTTTAAGGCAGAAATTGCATATAGGTTTTTTTGTTTTTTTTGTTTTTGCTTTTTTTGTAGACATTTAAGGAGAAGCTGGAGTGTAGCTCAGTTGTGGAGTGTTAACTTTACATACATAAGGCCCTGGTTTGATCCCCAGAACTACAGAAGAAAAAACTTTTTCCATGTGGAAAGGACATCATTAGGAGCTATGAGATTATGTAGGGCTTATGATGGCTTGGGAGGAGGAGAAGAAATTATTCTAGAATGGCAATCATATTAAAATTTCAGTATAAAATAAATGTGTTAGAGTTTTTTTTAATAGATCAAATACTGTTGGCAATGTCCCAGAGAGGTGTTTTTTATTTCTGATAGATTTTTATTAATAGAACAAATAGTAATTCTGTTCACTATTTTCTCCCCTTTCATACAGTTGATAAACAATATATGACCTACAAGATGTGATTTAGAAATAATTATATGAAGTTGATTTTTCCATTACTTTATTAATTCCTGTGCTTTTAGTTATTTTTGATCCTTAATATTTAGGTTAATAATTTCAGTACTGGGGAAATAGTTTAATCTTAGGGCACTGGGACTCAGTCATGACCTCAGAACATAATCATCCAGAGAAGTAAAAAGTAGTGATTCAAAGTTGCATCCAAGGCTTGGAAACTCCTAGAGTGGTAAGAAATATTGGCATACGCTTAAAAAAGTGTTCCTAGTGTTTCAAAATAGAGCTTTTTTTCTAGTTAAAGATTTTGAACATGTCCCACAAAAGTACTTTCTGATAAAGATATCTGATGAAAGCAATATAATCTCGGTAATATTTGAAACTAGCTTGCCAATAATTTAGAAGACAAGAAAGTAATTACTAGACTTCAAAAGATTTAAAAGCAATTGGCACCTCAATACAATGTGGTAACTTTTTATTTATAAACTCAAATAAGATTCAGTGTCTGATATTTTAATCACAGCCATACCTTAGGGCTTACTATAACATTTTTTCTTTCAAGTTCATTATGAAATTTTGGTTTTTGTCTGAAAGCAGTTAAAGTCAGTTTAGGATAAAACCATTTTTTATACCTGTCTTTAATTATTTGTGGCTTATAATGAGATCGACTGTTCTCTGGCTTTGTGAAAAGACAGTTTTTCCAACTTGTGTCATTAGCAACACATAGTCTTTTGTGTTCTGAGCATTTTCTTTAATTATTTTTTAAAATAGCCTCCATTGTGGCTGGAGAGATGGCTCAGCAGTTAAGAACACTGGTTACTCTTGCAGAAGACCCGGATTTGAAAACCAGCACCTACATGGTGCCTAACAACTGTCCATAACTCCAGTCCCAGGGGATCTGACAGCTTCTTCTGACCTCTACAGGCATTGCACGACATGGGCGCACTTAACTACATGCAGACGATATACGCATATACATAAAATAAAAATAAATAAATAAGAATTAAAAAAATTAACATAGCCTCCAACATTTTTTCCCTGTTTGAGACAGTGAATTTTTTTCCCAGGTGGTAGATGAGCTCCTTGGAGCATTAATGCGCTCGTCTTTTGCACACCTCTCATCTATCCCATCCCTACGTTTGAAGGAATAAAGGGAGGAAAGGAGAAAAATAGAAAGGGAGGGAGGGATGAAAGGAGAGATAGAGGGGAGAAAGAGAAAGAGAGAGAGAGGAAGGGGGAGGAAGAAGAGGAGGGGAGGAAGAAGTAGAGGAAAGAAAAGGAGAAAGGATGAGGGCTCTTCTGTCATAAACTGAACTTGGGAAAGGCTTTAGGCAAACACCACTGACTTGAACTTTCTCTACACACATTTCCATATAAAAAGCTCTGAGAAACCCTGTGGTAAAATCAAACCAAGATGCATCATTAAACAGCTGCTTAACTTTTTTTGAACTCATATTTTCCAATATTATTTGATCATGGTATTTTTTTTTAGCAAGAAAACACTAGAATAAAATATGGTAATATATTTCCATACATTAATATTATTATAGTATATAGTAATATAATTTAGAGAAAGGGTACTAAAAATATTCTGTGAGCATTTTGGGAGAGATGTCTGTCCGGGCTGA